GGCGCCAGGATGGCAGAGTCCTCTGCGGACCTCCCCATTATGGTGTCATAGGTCTGGGTTATCCCACCAGGTCCAGACCTGACCGCTTTCCCCTGGGAAGGTCCTGCCTTGCTTCTGCTTACCCGAGAGCTGTCGTTAAGACCCAGTGTTTTTTCAGAGGTCAGAAGGCTTAGAGGGAGGAGCAAAGGGCAGACCTCGGAGCAGGAGCAAGAAGACTGTTGCTTGAGTCTGAGCGACCCAGTAGGCTAAGAGCCCATGGGGACCATGCCTTTTCTTCTCTGTACCCCAGGGCTAGGACCATGGCCCGTGGGAGATGTGCTACATACATACGCCTGTTCCTTTCCCTTCCATCATCCTCCCAGGTAGGTGCCTGAAATATTCTAGGCAGGTAGAAATAAGGCATCTTTTTAAAAAAATACTATTTTTAAAAATTGAAGTATAATTGATTTACAATGTTGTGTTAGTTTCAGGTGGAGGGCAAAGTGATTCAGTTTTATACATATATCTTTTTTCAGATTCTTTTCCATTACAGTTTATTACAAGATACTGAATAGAGTTCCCTGTGCTATTTAGTAGGTCTTTGTTGTTTATATATTTTATATATAGTAGTGTGTATTTGTTAATCCCAAATGCCTAATTTATCCCTCCCCCCTCCCTTTCCCCTTTGGTAATCATCAGTTTGCTTCCTATGTGAAATCAGACCAAGGTCTTCCAAGAAGGGGATGTATGATAGCAGAAATTGCGCTTCTCAATCTAGAGTTCTTCTTAGTGTATAACCAAAACCCCTCCAGTTTCAGGACAAACTGCAGTATTAGGAGAGCAGAAATGAGTAAATTAGACTTTAGACATTTTGTGGTTGCTGGAAAGTGTTAAACCCCCACAGCCTTCTTGCTGCTGTCTGCAACTAGAGGCACACCAAAGGACAGAGATAGCAGGGAGTCAAAAGACACCCATGCGAGCACTAAGATTGGAGCAGAGCGCTCCTCTCACAGGCACCGTTGCCCCTTATCTTGTCCTTTGCAGGGCTCGAGGCTCAGATAGACTCAAAGAAGATGTTACTGCAGCAAATAGTTCTAAAGCTTGAAACTGAATGGCTGAGGGAGGCTGAGAAATCCTTTTCTTTGCAGGTCTTTTAGAGGACATTTCTAGATATAGTTTTGCTCGGAGGCAGGGGATGGACCAGCGGGCTGCTCCCTCTCAACCTCGGGATTCCAAGGGAGCAGGAAGAGGGTTCTCCTTTAAGGGGCTTCCTCTTTCCTCTTGAGGTGGTTGGTGAGGGAAGCTGGTGTTGCCAGGCCACAGCGGTGGGTGGGTAAGGCTGCTCCACCCACTGAATCAAGGGAGGCTTCCAGGAGGGAAACAGCTTGGAGATGCCTCATGAAAGAAGCCAGGGAGGAGGCTTGGGGTTGGCTGATGGGTAGGCGTGGGAGGAAGGGATTCAGTGGGGGCTGGTTGGCAGGGCATGTCTAGTCTGAAGAGGCAGTATTCACCCTTGCTTCATACGAGTCCTTGTCTGGAAGCCACACCTGCCAGTTTCTCTTTCCTCCTAAATCTTGCACGGGATGGGGTAGGGGCTGGCAGCCAGTCAATTTCCACCACCACTTGGTATAAGGAGAAACACTGCAGCAGGAAGGCTTTAAGCTAGACCACAGGGAGAACTGGATAAGATAGGAGCTGGGTGACTGATGGGGTTCATGGGACCCCTTTCTTTCAAGGGCTTTAAAATAAAGAGGTTCTTCTGTTCCCGGCACCCTCACCTCCACCCCCAAGCCACATTGATGAATATGATGGCCTTTGGGGGCTTTTTGCCAGTTTGCAAGTGACACATAGGTTCTCTGGGCCATCAGGAAATGCCCTTTTGCATTTGTATTTGGGATTGAAGAGCAGCTGGACCCTAGCTGATGGTGCTGAGTGTAGCTTTTGGGGGCACAATGGCAGAGCTGGAGTGAGGGTTTTGGGAGAAGTTGGGGGGCAATCACTTTCCTGTGGATGGTCCTCAGTGCTCACCCTAGACCTCAGTACTCCAGAGGGTAGAAATCCTTCACTCTTTAGTTTAGCCCTGGGGCTGGTGGGCACGGATTAGTGGTGTCTCTGGAAGGACAGACATTTCTTTGGCTTCTTCCCCTTGGGTCTTTCCAGCGCTTGGATTCTGGGGCTCCCCAGGAGACTGCAGTCCACCATGCATTTGAGGGGAGCAGCCCGGCAAGGGAGGGAAGGGTCTGGGCCTCTGTCCTGGAGGACCGAAACACCAGTCAACTACTGCCAACTGAGAATTCAACCAAATAAATATTTGCCGAGTCAACTCAAACTCTGCCTCTGTCTGGCCAGGCAGGATGCTTCTGTGCATGGGAAGGGAACCACGCTCAGCCTGCTTGGAGGGCCCAGCCTCTCTCAGCACGGCCTGGGCTCTCCCTCCTCTGGGCAGCCCAAGCCTCTCACCCAGATTCCTCTCATTCACTGCCCATGCCAGATTCAAATGATTGGCTCACTGGTTTGTTTTCCCGCTGGACCGTGAGCTCCCCAACCGCAAGATCTGGGACTCATTCATGCCTGTGTGATCAGTCCCTTGTTTCAAGGCTGGCCCACGGTAGGATGCTGGAGAAGTCAGTGTGAATGCGTGAGTAATTAACACCATCAGGTGGTCTGAGCTAAATGCCCCTGAGTAGGACAGACAGGGATGTTAGAAGGGTTCAGAGGAGGGAGCAATCCCTTTGAGAAAGGGTTTCCCACCCCAGTAGACCCCACGAGCTCTCAGCCAACTTACCAGGGAGGTCAAACAAAGGGGCTCCTGTGGGACCTGAGGGTGGAGACGGCAGGTGAGAGGGACTCCCCGCTGTGAAGCAGCACTCCCCACCCGCCAGCACCACCGCACACCTCCTCTTAAACCTCCGGCTGCTCTGTGAACTGCGCTTGCCTCTGCTCTCATTCCCAGGGGCTGTTATTGTAGATGACTAGCTGCTCAGTCTGGTGAGCCAAAGGGAGTGAGGGCACCTGGATTCCAGAAGGAAGAGAAACCCACTCCCCTACGTGCAGCCCAGGATCTGCCACCCCAGCTACACCCACCTCCTGCTCTGCCCCAACCAGCCCAGCCTGGGAGAGGCACAGTCCTTTTCTTGGTGTGGGGGCATTGACTTCCCACAACCATGGCAATGGGTCACAGCCCAGAAGGGGCTAGATGGCATGTCCTGGCAGCAGCAGAGGGTTCCCCAGTGTTCCTGCAAGTGGTCAGAGAGAGAAAGTGGCTAGAGCTGTTTTTTCTCACTTTTCCCGCTGAGGTCTGGGTTTATATGACAGTCCTACTCCAAACAGCTCACTTCTGAGATGATCTGAGTCCACACTTCACTGGCCTCTTTTTGGAGGGTATTGCCTGTGGCCTGGTGGGCAGGTTTTGTTCTGAGTCACACAGCAAACCTACTGTGGAGACAGATGAGAGTGAAGTGTTTGGGCCCCAAGGATGCAGCCACCTGGCCTGGCGCTTTTGCAGTCCTGCCCCTCGCTACTGTTTCTCTGTCCTTTGGATCCAAGCAGGTTCTAACCTGCTCTGCTAGAAACACATAAGCGCCATATCCGTATGCATCTTGTTAGGGCTGCTGGGAAGGGCATGACTTTGCAAAGCCACCTTTCATTGAGATATTCAGGTGGTTCTGTGACACCCACGCTGAAAAAAGGGGCCTTAGCATCTCAGAGGCCCTGGGTTCAAATCTCAGCTACACCACTTGACTTAGGCCAGTGACTTATCTTCTTAGAGCTTCGGTTTTCTCATCTATTAAATAGGGCTAATTGAACAGGTTGTTGTAAGGGTTAAGTGAGCCCATGTCAGTTCTGTACCTAGCACAGGGCCTGGAAGTTGGCATGTAGGATTCAACAACCCGCAGCCACTTCACTCCACATTAAAATCCAAATCAAACCGAACACATCATTTCCTTTAAGATGAGAAGCAACTCCACTCTCAAGGCAGGGGATTTTCCTCTGAAACCCAGGCCCGCAGATTACAAGGCTATTTGGCTTGTGTGACCCAATTAATAGCCCTCTGTCCCATGGGCCCTTGCGGACACCTCACCTCCTGCCCCAGGGGCCGCTCAGCTCAGTGAAGCCTGCCCACCTGTGAGGACAGAGGCGCCCACCTTCCTGATGAGAAGAAACTGCGTCAGAAGGAAAGCAGCCCATCTGGTTGCTGAGCTGTGGAAAATAATTAAACTGGGGGAGAGAAGAAAACACTTCTTTAAAAAACCAGGTTAGGTATGAATGTGCAGGGCGTGGCCCCTGTATAATTAGGCGCTCTGCTGGCTCTGGGAGCCGCCTGCCTCTCCCGGCCCGTTGTGTCAGGCTCGCCTGCGGCCCCTCCTCTCCGCTCCTCCTCCTCCCTGGTCCCTGTAGGTGTGTCTCGGGCTCTGTGGCAGCCTGTCCCACTCCCGGCTGAGACACCGCCCGAGAGGTCACCCACCCTCACTTCCAGCGAGCCCGACGCCGACCAGCCCGGTGACCCACAATGGAAGCCGCAGATGCCTCCAGGAGCAATGGGGCCAGCCCGGAAGCCAGGGATGCCCGCAGCCCTCCGGGCCCCAGCGGCAGCCTGGAGAATGCGGCCAAGGCCGAAGGCAAAGAGGCCAAGACCACCAATGGGCACGGCGGGGAGGCGGCCGAGGGCAAGAGTCTGGGCGGTGCCCTGAAGCCGGGCGAGGGGAAGGGCTCCCTTTTCTCGGGAAACGAGTGGCGGCGGCCCATCATCCAGTTTGTCGAGTCCGTGGACGACAAGAGCTCCAGCTACTTCAGCATGGACTCCGGGGAAGGCAAGCGGTCCCCCTACGCCGGGCTCCAGCTGGGGGCCGCCAAGAAGCCGCCCGTCACCTTTGCCGAGAAGGGGGAGCCACGCAGGTCCATCTTCGCGGAGCCCCGCAAGCCCACGGTGTCCATCGTGGAGCCCGGGGAGGTCCGGCGGAACAGCTACCCCCGGGGCGACGCGGGCATCCTCCTGCGCGCCAAGTCGGGCTCCGAGGAGGTCCTGTGTGACTCGTGCATCGGCAACAAGCAGAAGGCCGTCAAGTCCTGCCTGGTGTGCCAGGCCTCCTTCTGCGAGCTGCACCTCAAGCCCCACCTGGAGGGCGCCGCCTTCCGCGACCACCAGCTGCTCGAGCCCATCCGGGACTTCGAGGCCCGCAAGTGCCCCCTGCACGGAAAGACCATGGAGCTCTTCTGCCAGACGGACCAGACCTGCATCTGCTACCTCTGCATGTTCCAGGAGCACAAGAGCCACAGCACCGTGACGGTGGAAGAGGCCAAGGCCGAGAAGGAGGTAAAGCCTCTCCTAAAGGCTCTCCTCCCTCACCGTGTCCTCCGACCCCATTTCCGCTGCGGGTCCCCAGGGTCTGCGGCTTAAATCTCTGCTGTCCCTGGTTCTTTTGGAAAACAGTTCTTTCCCCTCTACACCCTCAGGCCGGGAGTCAGAGGCGGTTTGCCAGTCCTCTAAGCCTCAGGAGACAGGCGTTTTCTAGATGAGCAAATAGGCGCTTGGAAAAAATGAGGGGCTTGGCCAAGGTCATAGGATAAATTCAGTCAGTCAGGGGATCAGCACTAGGTCCTGGGCTCTGTGTTTGGCTGGGTGTTTCTTTCTTTTTTCCTTTTTTTTTTTTTACTTAAGGGGAGAGAATTCTTCCCACCTAAGCAAGGCTGGCCCCTGGGGAGTGGGTCATTGGCGAGTAGAAGGGAACTTGGGGACCACTTTAATGTCCTTTTTTCTAGCTTTAGAGCTGGCCTTTGCCGTACAGTGGCTTCTTCTTGTTCTGTCTGATCCCCCAGCCAGTCTCTTGACTCCCCCAGTGGCCTCCTTTATCCTTCCCTCAGCCGGGCCCTGACGCTTTATGCGTCTGGTTGTATGTGGACGTGCCTCAGCCTGTAGGTGGACACTCTTGGCAGGGGCTGGAGTGTGTGTGTGGGGGTGTGCGTATGTACGCATGTGTGTTTTATATGCACGTGGGTGTTTATGTGCGTATGTGGATGTTTGCATGATTGTGCATGTGATACGTAAGTGGGTTTGCATGCGTCCTGTGTACGTGGTTATGCCTGCACTTCTGTGGGGGAGGAACGGAGGCGTGCGGAGGCTTGTGAACGTGGCACACCTGGAGAAGGTGTGCTGGGCTACAGCTCGGCTGTGGCTGCTGCCCCCGGCCCTGCAGGGGCTGGGCTGCTCTCCCCTCCACAGCAGCACAGCACCCTGGCCTGGGCAGCCTCCCGCCAGCATGAACCTTCCTGGCGGTCAGTGCAGGGGACTCGAATTTCTGCACCCCTCAGAATGAGGCAGCACAGGACCTCCTCTGTCTCCAGCCTTCCTGACCAGGAGTTTGTGGATCACTCTCTCCTTGTACCCCCTATCTACACCCCTGGGCAGGAGGGATGAGTCAGAGAAGGGGACAGACTCAAAGATCCTTTCTAGGAGCCTCATTTGGCCCAGGAAAAAGGTGACCCTAATTCCCCAACTCCCTGACCCCAGCCTGGCTTCACGCTTCACGCAGGGAGATGGAGACGGGGCACCTCGAACTCAGAGTTCACGTTCTAATTCTGGGGCAGGACTCAAAGACACAGTCCTCGCTCTTGAGGTCTCATGATGTAGGTCAGGAGGCAGAGCAGACACACAAACCAGTCTGGGGCACACCCGCCCAGTTGCATAGCAGCGGCCGTAAGTAAACACCAATTCGCAGAGGACAGAATGCCAGCCTGGACGGAGAATCAGCAGTCTCGTCCGTCTCCTCTCCACCTTGCAGATGGGGACGCAGGCTCAGAAAAGGGAGGGACCTGTCCAAATTCAGTGTTTGAGGAAGAAGCCCCCTGAGTCTCTTCCAGTGTTTGAGAGCAACTTGGGGGGAGGGTGTTGAGGGGGATGGGATTCAGGAGGCGTGTGTATTATTATTATTATCAGGGGAAAATGTCTCATCCACTGGAGTGACTTTAATGGTGGGAGCTTCAGATGATGTGTGTGTGTGTGTGTGTGTGTGTGCGTCAGCAGCACAGGTAGGCAGGGGTGGGTGGTGCTGAGCAGCTGAATGGAGACGGAGATGGAGGAGAGCACATTGTCCAAGCCCGGCTCTGCTGGAATGTCAGACGTGGGGGGCGCTGGCCCAGCGCAGCATCAGGTGGGTTGACGGATCAAAGTGAACAAGCATGTCAATCCTGGCATTCTTTGGAGGCATCCCCTGCAGACCCAGACCTCAGCCCACACATGTCTTTTGCAAGGAACCCTGTCCAGAACCTGTTCTGCAGGCTGGTTGGTGGGGCACAGGTGAGGCGATCGCTGCCCTGTCTTGGCTACTTGCGTGGGGCTGTAGACAACACCCAGGGCTGCGGTGCTTGCCTCCTGGGCCTTAGCTCTACCTAGACTCTGAGCAGAGGCAGTGCTGGAGAATGGTGTGCCAACGTGACGATCCTTCCTCTGCTGTCCCAGGTCAGAATGTTTCCAGTTCCACTCCAAAAGCCACGAGGCATTTGACAGCTGTCCTGCGGTCCACCCCTCTGCCACTGGACGTTTCCTAGGCTGGATTAGATTGATAAGACTACCATGTACATATCCATCCCTTCTGTGTCTCATGGCCCTTCCTTCTGTCTATCCTGAGTGCCTTCTGCTGCATCATGGGTCGGGGTGGAGGACTCTTGGCAGAAGGCTGCTTGCTGTGGGGCAGCCTACCTGGCCTCTGTACCCGTGGGTGGCCCTGCCAGGCGTGGGTCCGAGTGGGCTCTGGGTTGGCAGCCTGGCAAGGCATGTGGAGAAGCACTCAGCCCAAGAGTGAGGTCCTAGCTCATCAGTGCAGCTCAGGTTCGGCATCTCGGCCACTTTCCCGACTCCATCATTTGGCTTAGGTCATTTTTGGCGCCATAGCCTGGGTCTTTGCCCTTCGTCTCATGGCCCAATTTTTCCATGAAGGCTGAGCTGCTGGGCTGCGGGGCATGGGCCCATCCTTGAGCTCTGGGAGCTGTGCCGGTCTGGGCAGGAAAGCTGTTTGGGTGGCCAGCCATGGCCAGGAGTCGGGGAGAGGAGCCAGGCTAAAGGGCTGGGACCACCTTCCCCGGAGATCTTAAGGGGGAAACTCCTGCTGTGGGACAGGGTGCGTGAGGAAGGAGGTAGAATGTCATCTGTGGGCG